GGAGTATTTGTTGCTGCTTGTTTGGCTGGCTGCTGCTGTAATTGAGTAGACTCTATAAATATGTAGCTGTAGAATGCAGCTAGCAAAAAAAAAGTTACTTATATATTTGTTGTATATGACCCATTCCCCATTCATGTAATTACTTGTTTTGACCAGCCAAAACACTATCAACACAAACACCACCAGTGGGTGACATCAAATTTATGACTTTGTCCATTAAACTACATTAAAATGTGTTTTTGGTAGTAAACAACAAAATAACAAGAAAAAAAATTTGCAATGAAATATGTATTGTTAATAATTGAATATTTTTTTCTTCTCAATAATTAATGCCTTCAGGATGAATTAGAGTCATTAATTTGTGATATATTTTTTTTAATGGAATATTGAATTTCTTGAGAAATCCAAAAACACATACATATATTGAAAACAATTAAATTAAAAATATTGGGTCAATTAAAATGTGTTTAAAAAGAAAATTGAATTTTATTGTAGTTTTGTGGTAAAGTAATTGAAAAACTTTGCATTGGAAAAAAGTAAAAAAATTGTATACATATCTATTAATATATTGATTAGCTTTATGCTTTAAGGGAAATTTGAAGAGAGTTTTTTTTAAATATTAATTTTTTAATAAAAATATTGTTTTTTCTGTTTAAATTTTTGATTCATTTAAATTGTTATACTAAGCGTATGATTAATATTAATTTCTAAATTATGAGAGAAAAATTAAAAAAACAACTTGATGAGTTATTGAAAAATTTAGATAGATAGATAGATAGATAGATAGATAGATAGATAGATAGATAGATAGATAGATAGATAGATAGATAGATCGATAGATATAGATAGATAGATAGATAGATAGATAGCTATAGATAGATAGATAGATATAGATAGATCGCTAGATAGATAGATAGATCGCTAGCTCGCTCGCTCGCTCGCTCGCTCGCTCGCTCGCTCGCTCCTCGCTCGCTCGCTCGCTGCTCCTCGCTCGCTCGCTCGCTCGCTCGCCCGCTCGCTCGCTCGCTCTCGCTCGCTCGCTCGCTCGCTCGCTCGCTCGCTCGCTCGCTCGCTCGCTCCCTCGCTCGCTCGCTCGCTCGCTCGCTCGCTCGCTCGCGCTCGCTCGCTCGCTCGCTCTCTCTCTCGCTCGCTCGCTCGCTCGCTCGCTCTCGCTCTCTCGCTCGCTCGCTCGCTCGCTCTCTCTCTCTCTCTCGCTCGCTCGCTCGCTCGCTCGCTCGCTCTGCTCGCTCGCTCGCTCGCTCGCTCGCTCTCTCGCTCGCTCGCTCTTCGCTGCTCTCGTCGCTCGCTCGTTCGTTCCGTTCTTCGTCGTTCGTTCGTTCGTTCGTTCGTTCGTTCGTTCGTTCGTTCGTTTCGTTCGTTCGTTTCGTTGTTCGTTTCGTTTCGTTCGTTCGTTCGTTCGTTCGTTCGTTTCTTTCGTTCGTTCTTTGTTCGTTTGTCGTTTTCTTAGTTCGTTCCTTGTTCGTTCGTTCGTTCGTTCGTTCGTTCGTTCGTTCGTTCGTTCTTCGTTCGTTGTTCGTTCGTTCTTCGTTTGTTCGTTAGTTTTTGTTTTTAGTTCGTTCGTTCGTTCGTTGCTTCGTTCGTTATTCGTTCGTTCGTTCGTTCGTTCGTTCGTTCGTTCGTTCGTTCGTTTTCGTTCGTTCGTTCGTTAGTTAGTTCGTTCGTTCGTTCGTTCGTTGTTCGTTCGTTCGTTCTTTTTCTTCGTTCGTTCGTTTTCGTTCGTTCGTTCGTTCGTTCGTTCGTTCGTTCGTTCGTTCCGTTCGTTTTCGTCGTTCGTTCGTTCGTTCGTCGTTCGTTCTTTCGTTCGTTCGTTCGTTGTTCGTTCGTTCGTTCGTTCGTTCGTTCTTCGTTCTTTGTTCGTTCGTTCGTTCGTTCGTTGTTCTTTCGTTCGTTATCTTTCGTTCGTTCGTTCGTTAGTTAGTTTAGTTAGTTAGTTAGTTAGTAAAGGAGGATGTGTATACATCAATTCCAAAAAAAAAAAAAAAAATACGCAGGTCTCTTCCTGTTGTGCACTGCTTTTCCATTCCCTCTGATGGGAATCGAACCCACCACCTCCGGTCTACCAGACTAGAACATGACAACTAATGGATATACATAAAAAATCTGACTATTACTTTACATTTCCCTCCCGGTCGTGTTACCTTGATTAATTTCCCATATCAAGGTGCGATTGCAATCCAGGTGGTATCACTGACCTAGTATCGAAGCAGAGCACAGGGCAGAATTTCAGACTTTATCTTCTGCCGGTTATTGGAGGCGTTCCTACGAAATGCACGTGAAGTTTGTGATTTTAACTCAAAATCGGGGGTAGAGAATGATGGTTAAAATATTGATTCACTATGAAATCAATATTTCTGGATAAGTGGGACGCTGTTTCCTCTCTGAGAAGTAACTATGAGGCTAAGCTTTGGGAATGATTAGAGGTTAAATCAATGTATGGGATCGGATGAAACCCTTATTAGGTATACGGATGTATTTCAATGAATTTGCGGATAAATGAGAAGTGTGCTGGGTTGAATCTTATTTTTTATTACAATAGAAAGGTTACAATTTAAATTTTCTAAAAGCTTAGGACATGTTTAGCAATTTTCCCTAACAGTGTTTTCCAATTGCAAAAGTAGTTCAGAAGATAAGGCTAGATTACTTTCAAGCGCAGATGGGGCGTATGATTGATATTAATTGTGAGGTAATGTCATTAAAATTAATATAACTTTAATAATAGTTAAACGATAGAAATGTTACTAACAAATCAGGCTTCTTTACAACATTGCAAAAATAAAGAATTTCTAAAAATAATATTTAAATATTTCATAAATTCTTGTTAAAACTTTTATAGGATTTGAGGGTCGGAAGGACAGACAGTTTTAGTTTATATAAACTGATAAAACTATTTTTAACCATTTTGCTTTTTTACTTTTTTTACTTAATTTTTAGGCATTTTTTGGTTTACAAATTGCTACTGTTTGCATTTGTTAGCGCTTTTTCCAATTTGCTCCCATTTAAATTTGTATATTGTGTCAAGAAACAGGCTTAAAGTCATAAAAATGTCAAAGTAGTTTTTATTTCTGTTATTTTTTCTATTATTATTTTTTTTATTTTCTTAGCTTATTTAACAGAAAGTATATTGTTTTTGTATAACCTGAAAAAAATATGTTTTTTATTTCTACAATTTTCGGGGGTAATATAAATAATAATGTATAGTTTACGCTGACATGACATCTATTGTGCACCTAATTGGCATGTCATTTGCTATTTGTTGGCTACAAACAACATAAATCAGTTATTTGACCGCAAAGCATAATGTTTTCAATATGATTTTTTTTTTATAAAAATTTTTTTCTACGTAGTGTTGCAATTTTGTTATTCAAATAGCTTGACACGAACACATTTCTTAATAAAATGACTTTATATAGCAAATATTTTTTTTCTTGCATTTGTTCTATTTTTTTGGGATATTTTTAAAGAAAGATTTAAATCTTACAAAATATTACCTGTCGTTAAATTGAAGGAGACTTAACAAAATGTTTACAAAATAGCTTTATGTTTGCAACCAGCATAAATGCGTATGACTAATAGGAAACATTAATAAAAAGTTAACATACAATTCTAAAACTACTAAAACATATTTCCTATATGCTGGCCTTGATTTGAAATGATTGTAATTATGTTTATTTATTTAGTTTAGAATTTTTTCCTATTAATATGAAAATAAATTTTAACATCAAAAACAACTACCGCTTACTGTTTGTCTAAATAAATATTGCATTTATGTAAAATTTATTAAAAGATTTTTAACGGTGTTTATTAATTACTACAACACCACATCAAATGAAATGATGTGAAGGCAATTTGTAGCTAAATTACAAACATACATAAAAACTACTGCCTCTTTTAGACATCATATTTCATAATATAAACGTTTTTTTTTTCTCTTTACTATTATTATTCTTAAGCTAGTAAGTAACTAATGATGACGTTAAGTTATAAAAGGGGAAAGTAAGCTAAGTACCATAACATTTGAAATATAACAAATTTTTGATATCTAAATTTCGAAAATATGGATTTTAAATTTTCAATATTTTAAACTATTGCTTTAAATATTAAATGAAAATTATAAAAACAATGTATTTTAATTTCTTGGTTATATTGTTTGAAAGTCTCATTTGTTAGCTTTTAATATCAGTTTGAATAATTGAATTTATTCAATCCGTTTAAATGTTACATTAGTTTTAATTAAACTATAACTGAATTAATATTAATCATACGCCACCTATTGCAAAATTTTAAAAATTAAATAAAACCAAAACTGTTATTTATTTTTGCACATAATTTTGTAATTCACATCAAAATTCAAAACAAATTTTGTACTAATTTATGGTTTATAAAATAAGCAAACATTTTAAAGTTAAAGTTTATAAAATAAGCAAACATTTTAAAGTTAAAGCTCTTTAAGGTTAAAGCTCTTTAAGGTTAAAGCTCTTTCGGTTAGTTGAAATTCGGTCAGAAATATAGCAATTCATAATCAAAATATTGTACTCATAGAAGCAAGATTTGCTAAAAAATATCTTTTTAATTTCTACAACATAGTTTCCTTCCCTTTCTTTCCAAGCTTCAACATTTGATGTTTGTAAATAATGATGAATCTAATAGATGACGATGATGAGTAATTGTTAAAAATTAATTATCATGTTACACACCATTTTTTTATTTGTTTTTGCTTCTAACTTTTTTCCTATTACATGTGTGTTTATTTTAAACATTTTTTCTATAAACAACGTTATTTTATAGGAAAAAACTTGAACAATTAAACAAATTTGCTCATAAACAAAATTAGAAAATTTTGTTATAAATTAGAAAGTTAAGATTTTAATAATGTGAATTATTTATTATACAATTTTCTATTAACAAAGTTATTAATAAATATATATTTGTTTTTATTCAATTTTAGGTAAGCGTTCAAATTTATGAAGAAAATCGTTTAAACTGGCAATATTTGTTAAACAATTTGTAAGTATAAGTTTTATTTTTCTTTGATTTTAGAGAACATTTTTATCAAATTTTTTTGAAAAAATTCTAAAATTTTCTTTTGAAACATACATTTTTAAATTTTTTATTACAAAATTAAATTTGGAAACATTTTTATTAAAAGAGAAAATTTGGAATTTTCTATTAAAAGGGAAAATTTTGAAAATTTTTCTATTAAAAGAGAAAATTTAAAAATTTTTCTATTAAAAGAGAAAATTTGGAAAATTTTTCTATTAAAAGAGAAAATTTGGAAAATTTTTCTATTAAAAGAGAAAATTTGGAAAATTTTTCTATTAAAAGAGAAAATTTGGAAAATTTTCTATTAAAAGAGAAAATTTTGAAAATTTTCTATTAAAAGAGAAAATTTGGAAAAATTTCCATTAAAAGAGAAAATTTGGAAAATTTTCTTTTAAAAGAGAAAATTTGGAAAATTTTCTCTTAAATCAGAAATTTTGGTAAATTTTCAAAAAAAAAAAAATTGGAAAATTTTCTATTAAAAAAAATTGGAAAATTTTTTATTAAAAAAATGGGAAAATTTTATATTAAAAATGAAAATTTGAAACAATTTTTTTTAAAACAGAACATGATTGCAATTGAAAATTTTCAATTGAAACCGAAAAATTTTCATTGAAACTGAAAATTTCGAAAGATTTTCTACTGAAACAGAAAATGTTTAAAAATTTTTATTGAAAGAGAAAATTTAAAAAAATTTTCTATTGAAACAGAAAATTTTGAAAAATTTTCTATTGAAACAGAAAATTTTGAAAGATTTTCTATTGGAACAGAAAATTTTGAAAGATTTTCTCATAAAACAGAAAATTTTGAAAATTTTTCCGTTGAAACAGAAAATTTCTAAAGATTTTCTAATCAAGCAGAAACATTTTGAAAAATTTTCTATAGACAGTTTCAAAAATTTTTCTATTGAAACATTTTTGATATTCAGCAGAAACATTTCTATTGAAACAGAAAATTTCAAAAAATTTTCTATTGAAACCGAGAATTCTGAAGATTTTTTATAGAAACAGTAAATTTTGAAAGAATTTCGATAAGAACAGAAAAATTTAGAAAGAAATTGTATTAAAACTGGGAATTTCGAAAAGTTTTCTCTTCAAACAGAAGATTTTGAAACATTTGCTATTATAACAGCAAATTTTAAAAGATTTTCTATTGAAACAGAAAAATTCGAAAGATTTTCTGTTGAAAAATAGAATTTCGATTTGATTCTCTATTAACATTAAAAATTCCGAAGTATTCTCTGAATTGAGATTGAAACGGAGCATTTTAAAAGATTTTCTATTGAGAAACTGAAGTTCGAAAAACTTTTTTATGGAAAATTTCAAAAGATTTTGAAACAGAAAATTTCGAACTATTTTTACTAAAACAGAAAACCTCGAAAAATTTTCTTTTAAAACTCAAAATGTTTAAAGATGTTTTGTTGAAATACACGACTTTCTATTTCAACACAAAATTTCGAAAGATTTTGTAAGATTTCGAATAATTTTCAATTGAAACTGAAAACTTTGAAGTATTTTCTATCTTAACAAAAACAAATTTAAAACGATTTTTCTTTAAAATTGTGAATTTCTAAAGGTTTCTAGTTGAAACAGAGAATTTCAAAATATTTCCTATTGAATCAGAAGAATTTCAAAATATTTTCTATTGAATGAGAAGAATTTCAAAATATTTTCTATTAAAACAGAAAATTTTGAAAATTTTGAAAAAATTTCAATTGAAACAGAAAATTTTGAAAAATTTTCCATTGAAACAGAAAATTTTGAAAAATTTTCTATTGAAACAGAAAATTTAGAAAAACTTTCAATTGAAACAGAAAATTTTGAAAAATTGAAGCGAAATATGAAATTTATTCCACAAAAAAAAATTATTATTATTATTATTTATGCAAAAACAACAACAAATGTTGAACATAGTTTTCATACATTGTTGCCCATAAACTTGTTGTTGTTTTATGCAAAATGAAAAAAGGTAATGGAAACATTTTCATGAATGTTTAAACAAGATTGATGAATTGTTTGTTAATTTTTATGGTACTTTTATAAATAAACTTCAACATTTATGTGATAAAATTTTCCAACACGTCATAGTGTTAAACAACTAATGTCTATCAGTCCGTCCGTCCATCCATCCATCCGTCTGTTCAAAAGTCTACATCGTGCATAATTTTCATTTGTATGTTACTATTTTTTTAATATTTTTATGTTATTAAAAAATAATTAATATTTATATGCCTGTATTTCTTGAACATGTATACATTTAATTAATATGCATTCTTTTGTAGCTGTGTGGCGGTGTATTAAATGTTTTTTTTTTCTATATTGTATATAATTTTTTAATTTTGTTCATTTGTGTTTTAATGTATTTATTTGTGTTCCGTTTTAATTATACTTAATAAGTTATTATGAGTTTAACGAAGAACTATAAGACAACAGAAAAACAATTATAGTGTTCTTTTACTCCGTGGTTTGAGACATGCTTGTTGTAATCTAAGCCGTATTGTCGGTTGTAACTCGCTTTTTATTTGTGGATGGGAGTAAGAGACAGAGAGCGTGTGTATTATTTAAGAAAAACTAAGAAACAACGCTTTACGTGTGTTTCGCATTACATTAAGTATTTATTAAAATATATGCAAGAAAAAAAATAGTGCTACCCACTGAGTTTAAAATGCACTCATGAGAAAAAGTTTGAACATTTGTTTTAGAAATTGTGAAAAAGTCGAAAATTTTATACATATTGCAAGAAAATTTTGAAAAATTTCTATTGAAAAGGAATATTTTAGAGAAATTTCTATTGAAAAAGAAAATTTTGGAAAATTTTCTATTGAAACATAAAATTTTGAAAAATGTTCTATTAAAACGGAAAAATTTGAAAAATGTTCTACTGAAACAGAAAATTTTGAAAAATGTTCTATTGAAACAGAAAATTTTGAAAAATTTTCTACTGAAACTAAAAATTTTGAAAAATTTTCTAAACTGAACATTTTGAAAAATTTTCTATTGAAACTGAACATTTTGAAAAATTTTCTATTGAAACAGAAAATTTTGAAAAATTTTCTATTGAAACAGAAAATTTTGAAAAATTATCTATTGAAACAGAAAATTTTGAAAAATTATCTATTGAAACAGAAAATTTTGAAAAATTATCTATTGAAACAGAAAATTTTGAAAAATTTTCTATTGAAACAGAAAATTTTGAAAAATTTTCTATTGAAACAGAAAATTTTGAAAAATTTTCTATCGAAAAAGAAAATTTTGAAAAATTTTCTATTGAAAAAGAAAATTTTGAAAAATTTTCTATTGAAAAAGAAAATTTTGAAAAATTTTCTATTGAAAAAGAAAATTTTGAAAAATTTTCTATTGAAGAAGAAAATTTTGAAAAATTTTCTATTGAAGAAGAAAATTTTGAAAAATTTTCTATTGAAGAAGAAAATTTTGAAAAATTTTCTATTGAAGAAAAAAATTTTGAAAAATTTTCTATTGAAGAAGAAAATTTTGAAAAATTTTCTATTGAAGAAGAAAATTTTGAAAAATTTTCTATTGAAACAGAAAATTTTGAAAAATTTTCTATTGAAAAAGAAAATTTTGAAAAATATTCTATTGAAACAATAAATTTTGAAAAATTTTCTATTGAAACATAAAATTTTGAAAAATTATCTATTGAAACACAAAATTTTGAAAAAGAAATTTCTATTGAAACGGAAAATTTTTATATTGAAACAGAAAATTTAGAAAAAATTTTCCATTGAAATAGAAAATTTTTAAAAATTTTCTACTAAAACAGAAAATTTAGAAAAATTTTCTACTAAACAGAAAATTTTGAAAATTTTTCATTTAAACAGTAAATTTTGAAAAATTTTCTATTGAAACAGAAAATTTTGAAAAATGTTCTATTGAAACAGAAAATTTTGAAAAATGTTCTATTGAAACAGAAAATTTTGAAAAATGTTCTATTGAAACAGAAAATTTTAAAAAATGTTCTATTGAAACAGAAAATTTTAAAAAATGTTCTATTGAAACAGAACATTTTGAAAAATGTTCTATTGAAACAGAAAATTTTGAAAAATTTTCTATTGAAACAGAAAATTTTGAAAAATTTTCTATTGAAACAGAAAATTATGAAAAATTTTCTATTGAAACAGAAAATTATGAAAAATTTTCTATTGAAACGGAAAATTATGAAAAATTTTCTATTGAAACGGAAAATTATGAAAAATTTTCTATTGAAACGGAAAATTATGAAAAATTTTCTATTGAAACTGAAAATTATGAAAAATTTTCTATTGAAACGGAAAATTATGAAAAATTTTCTATTGAAACGGAAAATTTTTCTATTGAAACTGAAATGTTTCTATTGAAAAAGAAAATTTTGAAAAATGTACTTTTTAAGGAGGAAATTTTTAAAGTTTTTCTCTTGAAACAGAACATTTTGAAAATTTTCTATTGAAAGAGAAAATTTTCAAAGATTTTCTTTTGAAACAGAAAATTTTTAAAGTTTTTCTATTGAAACAGAAAATTTCAATAAACTTTCTATTAAAGCAGAACAATTTCAGAAGATAGTCATTTGAAACAGAACAATTTTAAAAGATTTTCTATTAAAACTGAAAATGTTGAAAGATTTTATGTTAAAACTGAAAATTTTTCTATTAAAACATAAATTTTTGAAAATTTTCTATTGAAACTGAAAATTTGTAAAAAAATTTTTGTATTGAAATATTTACTATGTAAAATTTTTCGAGTGTATTTTCTGGTTTATATTGTTCATATAAAATTTATAAAAAATTATGATTTGTATTAAAAAAAAGTAAAGATTTAATACATAATAATGAGCGTATAAAGTACATATGAGTTTTTTGTATTTTACATTAGCATTGAAACTATAAATAAAATGCCGCTTATTCTACTAACTCATACCTATTAAAGATAGTACCCAAATAAGTATTTTTCTGATAGTAATAATCCACTAATATC